AGATGGGCCCACACAAGTCTCTGCAGGGGGAAAGGCACTCAAAGTCCGTGGATCTGTTATGCCCGTGCCTAGGCAAAGGCGCTGTGCCTACCCTGGGTTCCTGGCTTAGGGGAGCCAGCAGTTTATTTTTTCCCATTTGTTAATTTGTTCACTCTCCAAGGCTGGGAGAATGGCTCCGGGCATGTGACGGATCCTACTTCCGGTCCATGGGGCTCGTCAACTGCTGAAGCCGGTCCGGGACCCAGTGCAGAGCAGGGAGCGGGGAGGTAAACTGGAGAGATGTTTTTCCCTAAGGGGGGTGTTTTTGATCCACGTGGTATGCCATACGCAAGTACTTATCTTTCGCTGATTGAGGACTGCTTCTCACTGGTTCTGGGTGGCTGAGTAGACTCTGGCACTGGGTCTCTCTCAGTGCAGAAAACACACCTCCCAAGCACTACTGCTTTCCTGCCTCACCTCTCACCCATGAGCTGATCAGGCCTGAAGGGCTCAGGCTCTTGCCGGGTCATGTCTGGCAACTCCTCGCTGCTTCCGAACCGTCTCTTCCTCCCCCTGCTACTCAGTCAGGTTCCTCAACTTTGCCTTAGATGTTCAGGGCTCCTAGATTGTCATATATAATCAATTCAATTGTTTTTTCAGGTCTTTGTTGTAAGAAGGTCCACCGGAAGTGTCTGACTACTTTGCCATCTTGGCCTTGTCTCTCCTTCCTGATTTTTTGAAGAGTTTTGTATATTAGTCTTTTGAATTCTACCTCTGGTAGTTCCAAGAAGTTCTCTTCCTCCGGAAGGTTTTTTGATCATTTGTTTTGGTGGCTTGCTTGAGCCATCATGGTCTGCCTCTTTATGTGATTTGATGTTGACTGTTGTCTCCGAGCCATCAATAAGTTATTGTATCTATGTATTTTATGTTTGCTTAGTGTGTCCTAGCTTGTTTTGATATGCCCAAATAGGCTGGTCGTGTGAGCTAGTTTGATTATTGGCATCTTTGAAGCTCTCACGTCCTGTCTCCAGATGGCTAGAGCTGTTACTAGGTATGTAGGTCCAAGAGTCCATTTACTTTTCTTGTGTGGGTTCAGCTCAAGTGTCCAGGTCATTGGTTACCAAGTGTATGGTGCAGGCTCTCACCTACCGTCCTAGACAGGCAGGGGTGATTTGAGTAGACACAGGTATCTGGCTGCAGTAGGGGGTCATGCACTGATCAAGGCAGAGGGCTGACTGCTGCCCCTGAGTGTCTGGGTGGAAGGCATGTCCCTGTTCCATAGAATGCATAGGTAGATGGGTTCTGTAGCCAGATTATTGGCACCCAGTACTGTTGGTTGTAAGGACTGGGAGTCACCACTTATTCTTGGACCCCTGTCACGGGTGGCTTGGTGGTGTGAGTGGAGCCACCAGTCCTCAGGCCCCTGATGTGGGTAGGCGAGGACCCTGCTTAATGGGCAGGGTGGTGTCAAATGTCACGAATCTGCTACTCCCCCTTATAGCAGATACAGATGAAAATATGCTTCAGGTATATACCCTGTTGTACTGTGCTAATGAGGGCCTACACTGCTGAAATGGGCCCACACAGGTCTATGCAATGGTGGAAGGCATTCAAAGTCCATGGACCCCTTATGCCTGTGCCTAGGCAAAGGGGCTGTGCCTGCCCTAAGTTCCAGGCTTAGGGGAGCTGGCAGATTATTTTTTCCTGTTTGTTTATTTGTTCCCTCTCCAAAGCTGGGAGAATGGCTCAGGGTAGGCGACAGGTCCTACTTCCAGTCCAGGGAGCACAGCAACCTCTGAAGCTGGAACCAGGACCTGGAGCAGAGCAGGGAGGGAGCAGGTAAATGGGAGAGAGGTATTTCCCAAAAGGAGGATTTTTTTTTTTTTTTGATTCACATGGTAGGTTAGATGCTTGTACTTATCCTTCGCTGATTGAGCGCCGTTTCTCGCTGGTTCTGGAGGTTTGAGCTGACTCTCCGTTGCGTGGTCTCTCCTTACGTGGAAAACGCGTCGTAAGCGCCACTACTTGCCTTGCCGCTTGCACCAGCCAACCCAGCCTGCAGGGTGCTGGTTCCCACCAGGTCAGGTCTGGAAACTCCTTGCTGCTTCTGAACCATCTCTCCCTCCTCCTGCCACTCAGTCAGATTCCTCAACTTTGTCTTTGATGTTCAGGGCTCCTAGATTGTCATATATAATCAATTCACTTGTTTTTTGGGGTCTTTGTTGTAAGAGGGACCACAGGAAACATCTAACTACTCTGCCATCTTGGCCCTGCCCCTCTATGCTAATTTTTTTTTAGAGCAACATGTGAAAAAAAAATTGGCACAGTGGTGCTTATGAAAATACCTCATGGGGGGACGGTGCAGTTGGCAAACAAACGTAGAAGGTGTGCAAAAATATGGTACTAGTTGAGAGGTTGGTGGTTTGATTCTACTCAGAGGTGCCTCAGAAGACAGACCTGGTGATCTGATTCTGAAAGGTCACAGCCTCAAAAACCCCATGGAGCAGTTCTACTCTGCATACATAAGGTTGCCATGAGTTGGAATCGACTCGACAGCAATTAACAATAACAAAAACAGTATATTTGAACAGATGATTAACGTACATGATACAAATTTTTAAAAAATTCACAAGGGTATATGGTAAAAAAAATAATACTCTCATCCCTAACCCCCAGTCCTCCAGTTCCTCTCTCCCTAGATGATCCCTGTTTCTTATATGTTCCATTTATTTATTCTCTTCATTCAGTTAATACTAATTGAGAATTTACTGTGACCTAGACATACGGATATAATAGTGAACAAAAACAGAAGGAAAAAAAACAACCAAACAAAAAAAACCAACCAAACAAAAAAAAACCCCTGCTCCCATGAGGCTTACATTTCAGAGGTATTTCTGGAATGCAACTGTGTATGCAAATCTATCCATCTCTGAGAGAGAATACAGTAGTTAAGAGCAAAACTCTGAGGTCAGATTGCCAAGTATTCCAGCTCCACTGCCTGATGGATGTGTGTCCCCTCATTAGTAAAATGGAGAAAGATAACAGTACCTACTTTACAGGGTTGTTGGGAGAATTAAAAGAGTTAATGTAAAAGAAATGCTTAGAACAGTGCAAAGCATAGAGTAAATGTTCAGTAAGTGTTAGCTGTGCTTGTTTTCACGTTTATATACGTTTTTCTCCTTTACAGAAATGGTAGCGTGCTATGCACCCTGTTTCTCACCTAGTATTTTTTACTTAGTATATAAGAGATTGCTCCAAATCAGTATATAGAGAACTTCTTGGTTTTTTTAAGGATTTCATAGTATTGCATTATTATGATGTAATTGAGTTTATTCAACCAGTCTCCTGTTGGTGGAATTAAGCTGTTTCCAGTTTTTCTTGTGTTTTCAAAGCTACAGTGTACAAGGATAGTTATATGTCTTTATGCAACCATAAAGATGTATCTGGAGAATAATTTCCTAGATGAGGAATTGGGCATTTTAAATTTTGATACACACTGCCAAATTACATCCCCAGAGATTATGCCAATCTTACCTACAAAGTATGAGAATGCTTGTTTAGTCCCACTCTTTGCCACTACCAAGATAAGTACTATTTTAAAAGATTGTATAATATCCCATCGTCATGGACATATAATAATTTATCTTTCTTTGTTTTCCCAGTTTTTTTGCTATAACTATAGTTTAGGGTCGCTATGAGTCGGAATCCACTTGACAGCAACGGGTTTGGTTTTTTTTTTTTTTTTTTTTTGGTTTATAGTGTTATAGGAGCCCTGGTGTCACAGTGGTTAAGCATTTGGCTGCTAACCAAAAGTCTAGCAGTTCAAATCCATCAGCCGCTCCTTGGAAACCTTATGGGGCAGTTCTACTCTGTCCTATAGGGTCACTATGAATTAGAATTGACTCCATGGCCGTGTGTGTGGTTTTGACACTATTATAACAAACACCTTTGTATATAAATATTGGTATTTATGAGTCAGAACCATGCCAACGGGTTTATGAGGATTTACTTAGGCCATCATTCTAGAAGGAGAATTAAAGGGTATGCGTTTTTAAATGCTCTTGATCTCCCCTGTGTTTTTACTATGGAAAACATTTGTCACTTTAGTAGCCTCTGGCTAGGGGGTGGGAAGATTGCCAAGGTTTAGGGATAACTGGCTTTTCCATTATAGAGAAAATGAATTTACTGAGGTCACCTGGGCTCTCACTTGTTGGCTCTGTGGGTGAGGAAGTAACCTGGATAAAGTTATGCAGCCTCATCCTAGCCAAATCCCAGCATTGCCTTTGCCACTCTCTGCTACTGTTTTATAGGAAAGACTCTTGAAGTGCAGACCTACCCCTGAGAAAGTGTTCTGTACTTCTGGAATAACCACAGCTCCTGGCTGAGCTTTTTTGTGTTCTTTTTCATAGTCCTCATTGTCTTCATCCTCCATGACAGTCCTGAGAGTTTAACAAAAGGCAGAGAATCACTCAATTAGCAGCCATCACAACAGTCTTCAGTCTTCCCCTCCCGCCTTGAACCCTTCCCAAGGAATAAGTGGAAGTTCTCATTCAACAGATGCCTTTCTCTAAAGGTCAGCTGGTCAGTGCTCTGTTACCCCTGCCTGCCCCCAACATGTAGTCAAAAACTCCTAGGACACTGAGTTGGTCAGTTCTCTCTGGGGCCCAGCTCTTCTTCCCTGTCCTCTTGAGTCCATGTTTGACTTACAGAAAGTCCTAGGAAGCCCTAGCAATTCTCCAGACAACGTGGATATGTCTTAAATGCTCAATGTCAAGTTTCATCATTCTGGAGGATATAATGTTTGGCAAATTGCCTCATCCTTTTCTACTTGCTATTCTTGGCCTGAACCTGGATGCAGATCTTGGGCAGACGGAGCAGGCGATGTGGGAGGAAGAGTTCAGGCCCCCAAGACTCTGGAGGCTCTGACCTCCTGAAAGCAGAGACGATGTCCCTTCCTGGGTATCCCAGATGCTCAGCCCACGGTCTAACACACAGAAGCCACTCATTAAACTGTTACCAATGGATGGCTGAATGAATAAATGAGGGATGAGTACTGAGAATGTAAGTCAGTGTAGAGAAAAGCTATTAAAACAAAACCAACCAAACAAAAAGCCTATGCTGGCTTTACACCTGCACTTACTTAACAAAATCACTTAAATCAATCCCGGAGGAATCCAGTGCAGCTGGGACTGCTGGTGAGCTTGCAGATGCTGAGGTTGCTGGGATGGAATCCACCTGGGACAGGCGGGCACTGTAGAGCTTCCTCAGCCATTGCACAAACCTACAAAGGCACACAAGACACAGGCACATATCAGCTTCTGCCAATCAGTGCCTGTGTGGGCTCTCAGTTTCTAAGGCCAAGCTGCAAATCCTAGACTAGGCAGGTCTACAAGGTACTGCCTTATACTCTCCCTTAGACTAGCCTTCCTCTCCCCATTCTTCAAATCTTAGCTGAGGTTTCACTTTCTCCTAGAAACTTTCCTGACCACCCTCTCCCAGTCTGGGTCCGGTGTCCCTCCTTGAGCACCCCACAGCCCCCTAGGATGCCCCTTCTCAAGCTTATTTTTCCAATCTCTGCTAGACTGTGAGCTCCCTGAGAACTGGTATTGTGGCATGGCGTAAGCACTCATCCATGTTCATGAATGAATGAGTTACCAGGGATCCTGCTCCCAGAAAACCAGTGGCCAGGGCCAGGTCTAGGGTGAGGTAAGTAAGGTGCTCACTCTCAAGGCCTTTGCATGACCTTGCCTCCTAAAATGTTGAGTCCTAGGTGCCTTGCTTGTCTCACTCAAGTCCTGGCCCTGCCAGTGAGTTTTGCCACAATGAAGTTCTCTGAGCACAAGGACAGCTGGTGCTGAAGCCCATATGTCCAGCTTTCACTGATTAGAGAAGCCTTGTTGTTGTTAGGTGCCGTCGAGTCGATTCCGACTCATAGTGACCCTATGCACAACAGAACGAAACACTGCACCTGGTCCTGCACCATCCTTACAATCATTGCTATTGTTTGAGCCCATTATTGCAGTCACGGTGTCAATCCATCTTATTGAGGGTCTTCCTCCTTTTTGCTGATCCTCTGTTTTACCAAGCATGATGTCCTTCTCCAGGGACTGGTCCCTCCTGATAACATGTCCAAAGCATGTGACACAAAGTCTCGCCATCCTTGCTTCTAATGAGCTTTCTGGCTGTACTTCTTCCAAGACAGATTTGTTCATTCTCCTGTAACTTCATGGTATATTCAGTATTCTTCATCAATACCATAATTCAAAGGCATCAATTCTTCTTTGGTCTTCCTTATTCATTGTCCAGCTTTCAAATGCTTATGAGGTGACTGAAAAAACCATGGCTTGGGTCAGGTGCACCTCAGTCCTTAGAGAATCCTTGGGACATCACAAAGGCCAAGGTAGGGGTCACCCCTATTCCTCTTGTTCCCCCTCAGGGACAAAGTGGCTTTGACTGGACTCCCTCCTCCCCCCGCAAAGCCCGCTATCTTAGTTTCAACCTGATTTCACTTATATATTCATTCTAGCTCCATGTGCATTCTACTTTTTCTCAGAGTTTCAGTGGAAATGCCATCTCTTATATGAAGTTCCCATCACTGTCCCATCTCCCCAGTGGAAGAAATCTCCCCTCCCTCTGAAGTTTCACAGCATTTCATCTGCATTTCTTTTAGGATCCTGTTCACTAAACTGTGCCATTTCCTAAACTTCAAGCATTCCACTACCACCTTTGAGATTCTTGTCATATTAAGTATCACCTAATAAATCAATTTTATTGAGGGATAATTGACATACAGAATATACTCTTTTAAATATACAGTTTGATGAGTTTTGAAAAATGTACATACCTGTGCAATCACCACCACAATTAAGATACAAAATACTTCCATCATTCTAAAAATTTCACTTGGACCCTTTCCTAGTCAATTCCCCTACCCTGGCTACAGGCAAAACACTCATCTGCTTTATATCACCATAGATCAGATTTGCCTATAGTTTCATATAAATGAATCATAAATATGTACTCTTTTGTGTCTGACTTCTTTTGCTCAGCATAATGTTTTTGAGATTTATCCATGTTGGTGATGTAGCTATCGTCTGTTCTTTTTTTAATACTAAGCAGTATCCCACAGTGTGGAATACCACAGCGTGTTTATCCATCCTCCTGGTAATGGACACCTGCACTGTTTCCAGCTTTTGGATATTATGGATAAAGTTGCTATGAACATTTGTGTACTAGTCTTTGTGTAGACATACATTTTCATTTTTCTTGGGTAATTTCCTAGAAGCAGAATTGCTGGGTTATCTGGTGTGTTTAACCTTATAAGAAACAGTTTTCCAAAGTGGTTGTACCATCTCACATTCCCACTCACAGTGTATAAGCATTCTGGTTGGTCCGCATCCTCACCCATACCTGGTATTCAGTTTAATTTTAGCCGTTCAAGTGAGTGTGTAGTGGTACATTGCTGTGTTCATTAATAGCCTTTTTTTTAAAGGAAAGCTCTGTGTCATTATTAGAAATGAAAAACCAGTATTACCTACTAAATTTAGGGAAAAAAATCAATAGAATGGAAAAAATCAGTTATTATTTTCTCACCAGGAGAAGGTTCTGAGCTGAGCACTGCTTATTCTTTTTAAGAAGAGAAATTAGTTCACTTTCCACTTGGGCAAACACCAGGCTAGAACCATCTGTGGCCAGGCTTACTACCCCAAGAACTGTGCACTCTTGTTTCCTCTTTGTAGCCCCCACAGCACAGGGTCTTACACACAGGGCATGAGCACAATATATGTTTGAAAGAGTGAATGGGTGGATGGACGGATGGTTGGTTGGTTGGTGGAATGAGAACAGGAAAAGCAGCATGCAGAGTAATTTGGTGATTCTGCACCCCACCTCTAGCCTCACCACAACCTGAGATGGCCTCAGAGAAATGTGGAAAAGCTCTTTTCACCTTTTTCCACAAGCTTCTATCTGGCTTGTTCCAGACCAGATGTCTCTAGCTAACTTTACCTCAGACTGGAATCACACCATTCTAGGCAAAGGATCCATGTTGGGCTGGGTGCTGGAGAATCTTCTGGGAAATGTGTTAAAACACAGATTCCTGAACCTTGTCCTTGGGGAAATTCTGCCTCAGCAGGTCTCAGGCAGGGTCCAGGAGTTTGATTTTTAACAATCTTCCCAGGTGATTCTGATGAACAGCCAGATTTAGGGCCCACTATGGGTAGGAATGGTAACATGTCAGCTTAGGACTGGAGGTGATAATTATTATGCGGTTACTGCTACAGTCTTACCAGCTAAGGACAGTGAAAACCAGCAGAGAAAAAATTCTGAGCACTTATTAAATCACCCCAGGTCAGCAGAGACACCTGGGGAGACTGTCAGATTGCTACCCCATGTAACAGCACTCTTTCATCTCACATTTGCACCCCCTGGGATGTTGTGCTGGATGAAAAAAAAAAGCATATGGGGAAATCTGTAAAGGAAAAGTACAAAGCTGTGGACAGCTTGCATACCTGAGGAAAACAACACCTTAGCTGACAATGATACCTGAACAATTGGGAAGTGAGAGGTCTCTGGAAACAAACAAGAGGAGAGGGGTAAAGAGTCTTACTGCTAACAGGCTGAGCTGCAGGAGACAGGGAAACCTTTATCACTATGAAGGTTTTAACTTATCATTAAAATGGAAAACCTGCTAAAAAACAGTGAAACAGAACATTGGTGGAGTTTTTTTGCATCAGATTTCATTTTACTCCTAGGAACAGATGATAACTTTCCTGTTATGCTGACCCAAACAGGATTAGATTCAGTTATTTTTAAAAGAGAGTGCATAGCAAACAAGGAAAATCAATATTGCTCCAATTCCAGTGCTACCCATGTCGGAATCACTGGAGGAGCCAAGAAAGAAACAACCCCTTCAGCTGTGACAGAGTTGCGTGAATGTCAGACACTTTCCCTCTTCCTATTTTATTTTCAACTCTTGGGTAAGTCAGGATCAATACAATTTTCTGCGGTGCAAATTAAAAAAAATCCACCATGCTTATTTCCTGTTCTCCCTTCACTGGAGGTAGCATTGTGTCAAAATAAGACCCCAAAGAACATGTTTGTGTTTCAGTTAATATTTGGTGAGGTAGTTCAGATAATATTTGGAGATCGAAGTCTGTATATTGGACATCGCTGAAGTCTATGCAGTGCAGTCGAGGTCTTGAAAAAAATTGTGGCAGCTTTCAGTAGACACAATGACTTATAATTTGTTGATTCATTAGACCAGGATTCTGGGAAAGTCTGCTACAGAGGGTGAAAACAGTCACTGGCAGGATAAAAAGGCTCTGCAGATGTGTTTTGTTTGGCTCCTATGCTGTTTAATGTGCATTAAAATTAATGACAGTAGCAGACAGGTCCCCTTTACCAGGACGATACACCCATCCCCCTGATGCTGTGGATATTGGAGAACAGCTCACACCTGCACCCTCCTCTGGAGCAGTCCTCTTGCCTGATGGGAGCTGCCTCATCCACTCTGAGCTGTCTGAGAGATTATGCCCTCCTTCCTGTTAATGGGCAACCTATAGCCAAGGACTAATTAATACAGGTGAGGGCAATAAAAGCCCAGCCCCTTGTCTCTGAGTGGGACAATCTCTGTGATGCAATTCACGCTCCAGAGTTCCCCATGGGACCAGGCTAGGCACTCCTTCCGAAATCACATCTTTCCCTGGCTTCTCTCCTTGCCCTACTTTGCTTCTCTTTTAGGTTCTCCTAAGAGCACCAACCCTCATCCCACTCAATAAATCACCAGCTCAAGAATCATCATCTCAGCTCTGCTTCTAGGAAATCCATTTAAGACAATTGCCAGCAATTAAAATTTGAGACTTTGCATAAAAATCCAGATTTCTGGTTTCTTTTAAAATGTCAAAAGACATGCAAATACTGAACCTATATTTTCACATAGCAATACTTAGTTTGTCACAGCCTCCACCGTTCCCTGTGATTCTTACCCATGGCTCCATTTTACTCATGCATGCTATCTATTGGGCTCCTGCAGGCATCTGAATATGGAGTACCACCTCTACTACATGCATGGCTCTGTACTAGGAAATTAAGGGACCCTCAAAGCGTATAAGTTGTCTCTGCTACCCAGAAACTCACCATCTAGTTGGGGAGACAAGACATACAAAATACACAGGTAAGCAATGGTGCAAAGCACCATGTATAGGGAAGTAAATAGGCTGGTGATGGGGTCCTTCCCTGCAGAATCTGGGATGTGGACATTGCTTGACAAAGGGCCATCCAGCC